GAGCAAATCAACAAAGTATATCAATTCTGAGTTTAGTAAGTGCGGAAAAATATTTATTTATTTATTTCAAATGGCAGGCGTTTTGATAACTATCATTAGCCCTTTAGCTGACTTCAGGCTTCATAGAGAGGAGAAGGAACATTAAAGTGACAAAAAGTCGAGAGGGGGGGGGGCAGAATAATGATTCACAGATGTGACAGAGACAAACAAAAGAGCAGAGAAAAGGTAAGATGAGTACTATTAAAGTGGTCGAATTTGACATACAGTGGGGTCATGGTGGTTTAAAGTCAGAAGCCAACTGCCGGTTAATAGACTTTTTTGCCGTATGAGTATACATTGCCCAGGGTGCGCCATGTGGAGGTAAGTCTATGACGTACCCCGTGCGGAAAAATATAAGTAGAAGCGTACCAAGTCATCGAATTTCATCATTTTTCGCGTAAGACAACAATTGTGTGGGCCAATTACTTTTTTAGGCTACTCTCTACTTTAAGAAGTTTCACATGTAGGAGGAATCAAGGGTGCTATTAGTGCTTCACGAATCCTATACATGAGAATTGAGCGCATTGCAAAACAATGTTAATGTACGGTCAATTGAAGCACTTAGTAAACGCAATAACACGACTAGAAAGAGTTCATAAGGCTGTAGGAATACCGTTAAACTCAGTGCAAGAGTTTCGCAAACTTTTAGTGCAAAGAGCAGCTTAATGAGAAATTGCAATTCACTTGAAAATAACTTATTCTTATGCACCACCTCGATTCTTTTAATTGAATTTGATTAAATGTTTTTAACAATACCTATTATTAATGTAAGTTATTCCCCGTTTCATTGAAACATCATACACCAAAATGTGAAACACGAGAATCATGGAACAGCATGAATGGAAGCAATTCACTTTTGTATATGTGTGTGTTCATCTGGATAATGCAGCTTAAAAATAATTACTCGCAAAGTGAATGAAACTTATGATATCGAAGCAGAGATGAGTTGAAACCGACATAAAAATTAACCACGTCAGAAGTATATCTTGAGGCAAAGCATGATGAAATATGGTTTTATTTTGGATGCAATGAAAGTCCTTCACGTTTATTAAGTACAAGGTCATACACATTTTAAACCTATTTCTAATCCTCCCCAACATGTTTAAACTACTTCACAAGCATTGCGTAAAATCTCCAGCTAAACTACATTGCATATTGATTCTGAGATGCCAGCAAAGTTGGCTGTGGTTTTGATAATTTCTCTCCTGATTTTCTACACTTCGGCTTTCGAATCACTACGCTTAGGCAGTAAATGGAGGATATTATCTGCGGCCAGCAGTTTCCGTTACCAAAAGCCGATCAAGAAAAGTGAAAAACTTGTTATGCAAAATCCCCAAGTGAACGCCACCAGAGCTCAGAAAAAAGGAAGTAATTGTGCTCTGACGCTCGAAATCTCCTCTTATACATTAGCATTTTGTGTTTTCTTAACTTTTATACATGTCATTTGAATTAACTGATTTTATTATGCTAAAAAGATGAAATGTTGATTTACTCCTTGGAATATTTTCATATTTAAAGTTTCTTCATTTTATAAACATTTGACGGTTTTGATCTTGTAATATATTTATATAACAGTTGTTTCATATTATGCTAACTGTGATGCAAAGACGAAATTTTACAATAATAACGGAGCTTTTCCATTCTTATACCTGTGCAGAGGGTGAGCGTTAATAAGGGGCTAGAATACTCTAGATATTACTGGTTACGCAATGGTCAAGCAACAACTATTCGAACACCATCGTGTGCAAATTACTTGAGGCATGCTGGACATTCAATTGTCTTGAAATCTCTAAGGAAATCCATTTGTTTTCAATATATTGAAACTTTTAATACTTATTTAATTTGGGTCTTTTTTAACCGACATGAAAAAGGAATTTCATTTTCTCTTACCGATTACTTGTAAGTAGGCATTGATATAGGGATTATAAGCCAAGTACTGTAAGGTATTTAGCACTAGGATGGTTATTTAGGCTTTAAGATCTTTTTAATAAAATAATTCCTTTTACGTCAAAGTTTTAACGAAAATATGCTAATCGAAAACAAATAGTGCTCTAATGTCCCTGTCTTACCAAATACTCCAACACATCGGATGAAGTGGTATGTTAAAAGCTCTTTCATATCATGTAAAGAAATAGAGGCAAATTATCCAAGACAGTTACGATGTAGTTATCAGAACCAAAAATCGCCAATATTGAAAAATTTGCACTTTAGCTACATTTTTCCACTACGTGTCAAAAGTTTTATTAATAAATTGAAAAACTATTGGGTTGAACTAGAGGTTGTAGTAACTATTTAGACTGAAATAGGATATCAAAATGTAAACACCAGTATCAAACTAATTGATTTGAGAATAACCTTGATGAATACAGCATAATTTTTTATGAAATAATTACACGGTATGGAGAAATCAAATGTTAAGATATTTTTCGCCAGGAAAATGGGTTATTGCAGTTGTACTAACATTGATTATAAAGATTTCGCTTATTTATTTAAATCGATAGTTATTATTAGCCCATTAGTTGACTTAGGGATTCGTAGAGGGGAGGTACATCATAGTCATAAAATATCGAGATGGGAATCAGTAGAGCAATTCACGTATGTAAAGGAGATGGATACAAAGGTAGAGGAATAGGAACGGTGAGCACTGTAGGAGTGGTCGAAAATGACATACAGTCGGGTCATTGTAGTTTAATCCAATTGCCGGTCTATGGACTTTTTTTGACTTTTAAGCTAACGTTGCTTGCAGTACACCACATGGAAGTGAGAATATCGCGTACCCTAACTATTAAGATTGAAACGGTCATCTCCAATATTTAAAGCAATCAGTGGACTTCCCTCTTAAGGTAAATGCGGATTACAACAATTATTCTCGAACTTAGAATAGGCTTAATTAATAAATATATTACAAGAAATTCAAGAACTCAAATATTAAACAAATCAAATAGTTACGCCTTAGATTGAACATCTAAACAACGAAAAAATATACAAAGCAATGTAATTAGTTGTAGTCATTGTGCTAGTTAAAAAGGGGCATTAATTAACAAATGTTCCAGCACAATATTGACATAATAAACCGGCTTTATAGTATAGATTTAAATTATTCCATCCTATTAATATTTGTTGTAACACTGAAGACTCAATAATTGTTTTTCTAAAGCGCCCAGGATTATAAAATATCATGAAATAAGGCTCAATTTTTGTTTTTTATTCAAGTATTAACTCAAATATATTTCAATCTAAGTATAGTAAAATGCTACATATGAGAGTCTTATTTTACAGATTAAGTCTTGATTTTATATGAATTTAATAAACTTATGCTTCATACGTCACGTATACATTTACTCATTTAATTGTGCGACTTATAAAGTGTTTAATTGCATAGGATAGCGTGCAAACTTTCGAATGTCTGACAAGTTATTGTAATTTATCGGAGCACGTCCCCTATTAATGTCCTCTTCTGCAAGCGCACAAATTCCTTCTGTAAAAGATAGAAATCGAATGATTAGTATGAACACTGATCAATGTGCAATTTTGTTTCGCGAGTCGAATAAGGTATTCTGTACTGCCTTTTGTTGTTATTAATGTATATAAAATGTTTAATTGTCGTCACTTCTCGAAAAATATTTCATTGTTTTAGAATGTAGATTCCGCTCTTCCGTTTAACTGGGAGAGTATATGTAGGTATCATTACTATTTTAATTTGCATACCTTTAGCGAATGTAAACGACGCTTACCGCATTTTTCTGAAACATCATACATGCTATGACACTATCCCTTTGAGTGCAAAGCTTATAGTTTTTGACGTTGCTCTTAACGTAAGATTCGAACTTGGCTGATAATCCACAGATAGGTTAAAAAGGGGTTCTTCGCACTTGTCTACAATGGCGTTAGAGTTGCCATCCTCTGGGATTCTGAGGTCCAGAGCCATGTTGGTCTTCTGACAATCACTGATTTTATTCGCATTTTGCATAAATACTATAAGTCACCTGAAGTCCCCATCGTCGAATTGGAAGAACATCAAATCAAAACATGGAGAGGTAAGAATTTGTTACCAGTTTATATTATTGCCTCCTAGAGCAAACATCAGATTGTATGCGGCCTCTTGTCTACATAACACCTGAGAGAACTCTTCTAGAGGCTGCTGAGATGCTTCTGGAAAACAAAGTTCATAGACTTCCGATTATGGATCCTCAAACGGGCAATCCTTTGCATATCCTCACTCACAAACGTATTCTCAAGTACTTGTACTTTAACGTGAGTCATCGAATCGTACTTTTAAAATCTGGAAAAAATGTTTATTTCGGTCTTAGATTTCATGCTCATCTTGATCTATGTCATATTTTGATCCATCTAATTTTTTTAGGTAAATATCAAATTTTGTTGCTCTCAGTTAGATGGTAGTACCTTTATCTAACTTTGTTAAATCATGTCACCATTTGTTCTGTGAGTAATTTGGAAATCAAATAACTCAAAAGAATTTAACTTTTCGTCATTTACTTTTTGCATTTTGGAAAATTTCGAAGGGACATTTATTTTAGTCATAAGGCTCTCGAAAATCTATTGCTCCTCAAAATACGAACGAACCCATCCAGGTACATTTTTCTAAGTTGGCGGTAGTCCAACGAAAGTTAGCTGTATGCACTACGTATCACCTTGAACCTCTTGAAGGTAACACCAACACTCACCCCGAGCAGATCAGTCACATTTTGCTAGATCACTCAGTATGACCTCTCTGTGAACAAGGGCCAATGTGCTTTCCACTCATATTATCTGACAATGCAATCTTTCAATGAGAGTTATAATAATTTAAGTACTGCCAGTTAAATGTTCAGATACCTTGAACACTTATTTTTTTACGGGAATTGAATTTTTTCTTCTGAGGCGTTTGTAGTGATTAGCCTTAACACATTCATCTTATTCTGCAAAAATTAGTCTTCTGGAATGTGACCAGTGCGCGTTTATTTGCATAATTAGAAACACATGTTAGGGTTGCATTCTCAGTCGTTGTTGGTATTCATTCCCAAGCGATATATCACGCTCACCGTGCATCCTTCAAGCAGTATCCAGGGATCATTTTCTCATTTTCAACTTGTTTTCGCCTACTCTGGTGTTTATGACCTTCTGTTGGCTTTCAAAGTGAACTGCTCCGTTATCAATTGTTTAAGCTCAGTATTTGGTCACTGTCTTCGTATACTTTCATCATTCCAATAAGCTCCTCTCTTAGTTTTTAAAATTATACATAAAACTACAACTCATTGATTCAAGTTAGTTCTAGAATGCTGAATTTAAGTCAAAAATCGGTTGACGAATAATTGTATTTAAACTAAGTCGGTTGCTCAATGGGTTAATCGGAGGTGCAGACCAGTAATATATTTGTAAATTGCATTTCAACGCCCTTTTAGAATTCGATTAGTAATTAAAGTGCCTTTTGTTTAACCATCTTACTACTACTGGGATAGAAATTTTATCGTTGTCGCCTTTAGCACAGTGTTATAATCCCATATTTTAACATTATGTAAAAGTCTTTTAAGAGAAATTTTGACCAATTTTCTTGAGTCTCTCATCTCAATTTTTGGTCAGAATCAGCCGGTGTGTTTGATCATTTACGTCACTGGGCGTGAACCAATGAACATTGATCTCGTGACCTTACTTGGTGAACTTGTACATTAGGCGTTTATATCCATATCGCCATTTTCAGTCAATCAATGTTTTGTGGGTATTCTATAGTCGTAATGGCTTAGCAACAGGGCTATTTCAATGAATTTATAATGGTCTAGGTGCTGCGACAGAGCACAAGTTTCCTCTGTATTCTTTAATAGGCCTTGGCGATTCGATTTCTTACGGAAATTCTTAATCGCTTCTCTAGCTGGTGCGTCTTTCCAATAGTTTAAATTGCTTGTTCTTCTATGTCATGAATTGGCGGTTTATCATAATCGTGTTTGCAGAATGTGGAGAACTTGCTGAATCTAAACTCCTAATGAGGTTTGGGTTTTGTTGCTCCGTTTAAATACATTTTAAAGATTTAAACAGTAAGTTATTTCCATTTGCTTAGGATAAAGCTTCCGAGCTTTTCATTCCTTAACCTCTTCGCGTGTCTATCGAACTTCAAATTCGCGTTACAATTTTTTTCCCTCCGCGGTCCTTTTCTTTCCTCTTTTCGTATCGGATTTGCTTATTTCAAGTAAAGCTTCTGCCATACATGCCCACTTCACTTTCAGCATTTGCCTTCTTCTTGTTTTGCCTTGCTCTAATTTGCATGTCCATCTACTTGCACTTTTAGATGTGGTATTTTACATTCCCTCCTCTTCGCGTTGCGTAAATTCTTTTTCCTCGCCTGTTAGCTTTAAAATTTAATTGCCCCCCTCTTCCCCGCTCAGAACTCCTTTGCTCTAGCAAGTCATATGCAGTCACTCCTTTCAACTAAGTAGTTCACAAGTTTTAAACCTCGAGGGCATGAACTCTCATAATCCTTGGTATTAAACCTTCTAATAATGCGTTGAGAACAGTACTCATTAATTGCAAATTAGCCTAATAGATTCGACTGAACTAAGACTCCTTATTTGCTTAATATTTTCTCCTATTCGCGTTTAGATTGGTCAGAAACCTACTTTTGACACCGGACACCGGTCTCTCTTTAATGCGTGTTTAACGCCTATTTCTAGTTCAATAACATTGTATTTACCTGTTAAGCCTTTGTTTAAAGTTGGACTGTCAAATGGCAGTCCTAACACAATTGTGCGAGTGTTTTGGAGAGTGTTTGGTCAAGGCCAATAACCAGGTAAACAATGTGGACTCTTCTTTGACTTAAGGATTACCTTCGGCTTGGTGTAAACTTTGGTCTGACTTTTGCGTCTATTTACTACCACAAGCCATAACAAGTAATTATACACTTTCTTTCTTTTCTCGCACTTTCCCTAACAATTTATTTTGCCCCCAGGGCTTTAATGAGCTATGTGAACTCAAATCTGTCAATCCTCTATTTTGAGTCCTTACTTGATCTGTAAATAACTTTTAAGCAGGTTAATCTTTAGCTTAAAGTCAATGATTCCTATCCACCAAGAAATCGTCAGAACCCCGATGATTCACTCCCTGTACTTTGGTCACTGTGGTTCTATCTTCAGTCAAATAGAAAATCATGCGATCTAATGACCTAAAATTTTATCTTCGCAGTCCCATGCACAAGTGAGTGGGGGGGGGGGGG